GTGGGCTAGCTAATATGAGTAATGGTGATAACATGTGATAACAGGAATATAAGCAATGGTGAGAATAGTAATACCCGTGAGAAAGGTAATGCTAGCAATAGTAACGGTAGTATATTATAGTCATAAAGATACCGGCAGCGATAGTAAGAGTAGTTATGAAGGGCTTGGGGTTCTTGGGATGGGTGTGGAATCATATTCGGTCTACTCAGCCTAAATTTTGTCTGGAGCGTTTCTCAGATTAGGCCTGTACTAGGTGTGGTATCATGTTTGGTACCCCTCCCACAGAGCGCGTAATGTGGAGAACCACCTGCATGTTGTTTTCAATCATGGGCCTTTTGTTAGAGTGTATTTGGAGGTACATAACTTGGATCACTATCTTGAGAAAGATCCGTAAAGTTTGCGCGCCGTTGCCATGCATGCTTTTCGTCTGAACTAGGGCTTCAACATTTGGCTGCCATGACTGTAATATTCGCTGGTAAAGAGTTCTAACAAGAGTAGGGCCAAGAGTAGCCATACTCACAACACTGGTGTTGGTACGAAGCCTCCTTGATGACCATAGTTGCAGTAATCTTCACAAGGTTAGACAGCAACATGATGGCCGTGAGTTCTAGACACCACGGGATTTGTAGTAGCCCCCGAAGTACTACGACAAGTAACTACCGTAAACCCAAAAGCCCTAGTTGATAACAAATACTGCGCCTTGTACCTGCAATGCGGATAGGGATACCTAACTTCCAAACAGCCCCTATCACAAACAGGCGGGTCAGTATGTATGGTTACCACATCCACCCGCAGCCCCTAAGGAGGTTTCACACAGCATGCAGAGGCCCAGCCGCTGCAACGCTGAAAAGCCCTTTCGAATTTGCGTGCAACATCTATGCGTCCCATCAGGATGATGAATTGCAACAATCTCTACACCTGCAAATTATCTTCCGGAATCCCAATAAAACCTTTGCAAGTCTGAAACGGCCAAGGCGTACTCGGCCCACGCTGCACCGAAGGCTTGTGCGGCTCATCATGGGGTCGTGGTCATGGTGGTGGCGGCTGTGGCGGTGTGGTGGTGGTGGTGATGGGACTAGCAGTCGATATTTGCGGGCCCATGGCAACATCGCAGACATGTTGCGAGCGGCAAGAACTGGTTGAAAGCACCAAGTGATCCTAACAGCAAAAGCAGAGCATGGTAAAGAGGGACCGCAGGAGAAAGACAGGTCCAAACATCATCGCAAAGTTACCTGCGCAGCATTCCCTAACTAATTTGGCCCTTCAGCGGCGTAGGCTACAGCTCAGGTGGTAGTTTCCAAAAAGAGCGGGACCCCAACATAGACTCCAAACTACGATAGTGCTTACTGTAGAAAAGGGTATCCATAATTTCTGGAACCTCCACATGAGTTGTAGTCCAAACGACAGGCTTAGGGTTCAGAGTTCAGGGTCCACCAGTCCCAAAAAATATATGCGAAACCTCCAAGATGTTCGTAAATTGACCCACAGCTTTCAAACGACAATGGTCACTGCATGATGCCTAAATGCTCAACCCTCATTCCAGCAATTTTATGGCCTTCTGGCGAGCTTCGATTTTCAATTGTTGCCAGGATGCTGGAAGCACCCTGAACGCAAACGCCAAGGAGTTCGTGCAGGCGTTTAGCTGTGTTATCTGTGCTGTAGTAGCCGCAGCAGGAGCAGCAACACCAGCAGTAAGGATCGGAACGGTCGAAGTGATGATCGTGTCGATGCCCTCTACACCATAAACCCTAAACAGTAGTTTTCATTTTCTTTCCCATTATCCTTATGTCATCCTATATTACCCCTTTGTTATCCCCATATACTGTTCAGCGACTAGAACCCAGGCCTCCCCGGGGATGTACGACTGGAGCCAGGCTCAGGACCGAGCGACCGTGCTCTAAAGCGGCAGTTTCTGGAAACGGCGAGCCCCCAAAAGGTACCCCCAGAATGCGGGTAATCTTCATAGTGGGATCACCCGCTCGTGTTATGAGAGCTTCGCAATCTTGTGATTAACAAGCATTCAGCCGGCGAGTTTGTGTGCACATGTCTTGACTGCTTGGGGATTGAATGCGGAACGGACAATAGCATTGACATGAAAATTATTCGATGCGAGGGCGCCTACACCACCGAGCTACAGCCACAGACAGAGGCCTGCTGCCCATGTTCTTTTCAGTGCGTAAGGCCACCACAAAAGGGTTCCGTCTAAAGGTGCCCTTGTGTTAGCAGTCCTCTGTTTCTTCCGGTATACTGTTGGGACTATGGTTTTGTAGGAGCGTTCATACGCAGAAGCTTTGGCTGGCAATGTCTCAGTACTTCAGTGCTTTGGGCTGACGGATTGGATTTATTGTTCGTGCTGTCCTGAAAAGTACAAGAATTGCAGCGAATTTGTCGTCTTCCTGCAGTTGGTTTGCAGCCCTTACCACCATACTATGTCGACAATGATACAAACCCTGCAATCATCTGTGGCGTTGTCAGTGTGACTCCGATGGCTTTTAGCCGATGAGAGGATTTACGTTTTAGGGTGTAGCCCTAAACCCTAAACCCTAAACCCTACTAAACCCGAAACCTAGACCCTAAACCCTAGGGTTTAAGGGCTAGGGTGTAGGGGTATGGGCGCACCTGGGATTCCTGTTGCATTGGCAGCGATTGATAGAGATGTTGAGGAGGAGGATTATGACTAGTGTAGATGGTAAGGCTATTCCCCTGCAATCCTTTTTCTTTTCCATTATCAAAATATAACCCCAATATACACCCTATAATCTCTATATAACCCCAATATAACCTGAAGTAACACCCCAACCCTTTTCTGATAATTTAGGCCTCTACAACTCCCATGCATAAGCAGATGTCACCTCGTGTTCCTTGTGCTTTTCCATCGCACTCTCCGCTATTCTATCCCTAGACCCCCAAATCCTAAACCCTAACATGCCTTAAACCCTAAAACCGCCCTTCCGGTCCAAACCTTGCCGCTTGATTTTTCGTAGAGATGATGGCTGACGTGACGTGAGGGCTTCCTCAAGAATAGCGGTGCCACGGGGCCCCTAGGGATATGTGAGCCATTATTTACCCCCAGAAAGGGGTTCTTGAGAGCTTAGGGTTTAGGGTCTAAACTCCTGAAAGGGGGTTATATAAGGCATTCTATGGGGGACTACTACATGGGAAGTTAGGGGGATACTAGGAGTTTGGCTCATGTGGAGAACACAAAGGGATTTTAGGGTTTAGGGTTTACCTACATGGGGGGTTTCGCAAGATCAGGTGTACCATTGGGGGTCCCCATAAAAAGGATTCTAGTAGTTCGGGATCTATATTGGAATCCCACTATGTTGGAAAACTACTAGATGTAGAGAAGACAAAGGGATTGTGGGGTCCCTCTTGGGAATCCACAGTAGTCGAATTTGAGAGACCCCTAAACCCTATACCCTAAATCTTAAACGAGTACTTAGCCAAGACTGGCCGCCTGGGCCAGTGAGGTTTAGGGTATAGGGTTTGTATCCTGCTTTTCTGGAAGGATCCCACCAAACGCTAAACCCTAAATCCCTAAACTCTAAACCCCAAGCCCCAGGCTCTAAACAGTTCAAGTCCTGTGGCCCGATCCTGACGACCTCACATGACCTCACCTTACATGGTCATTCTTCTGGAGAATTGGGTTTGGGGTTTAGGGTTTGCTTGTTGTTAGAAGTTGGGTGCTGGCACCAATCATCAACAGCTGGGTAATATCTATAATCTAGCTATAGAGTCCCTCATGACCCCTATTATAGACCGTTCATTAATGGGTAGGCACAGGACCCTTGTCAGAATGAAGGAAAGGGATTCATGGGACATTCGCAAGGGACTGCATAGGGACTGCTATAGGCTTCCGTTCCTTCATGCCCTGCTGACCACCGGTAAGCCCCTACCCTAAACCCTAAACCCTAATCCCTAAACCCTAATCCCTAAACCCTAATCCCTAAACCCTAATCCCTAATCCCTAAACCCTAATCCCTAAACCCGAATCCCCAAACCCTAATCCCTAAACCCTAAACCCTAAACCTCCAGGTTCCCTAGATAGTGACAACTCCTCAGCCCCAGAAGCAAGGCCAGAGGAGGGTTTAGGGTCTAGGGGT